ACACAGTCCATGTATTATTTACATTTTGATCCCTTGTATATTGAATTACTACTTTTGGACCTTGTAATCAGTGAGTTTGGAGGAAAGAGGGACCATTTTTTCTAATTCTGAATTTTGGAGGTGGAGCCCGAACGCGGGGCGTTCCCCTGAGGAATGCACTACGTTCTCGCGCTAAATGCAAACCAAAATTTTTAGGTTTTGGGATCTATATAAACAACATTATGACTCAATCCCTAGCCTCCTTATTATCCTCTCAACCTCAAAAACCCTAGATAGCCTCTCATTCCTTACTCTTGTGTGTTTTTGGCCTTGTGAAGTTCATTGTGGTGATTAGAAGCTTGAAAGGAGAAAGAAGAAGCTAGTGAAGAAGAACTTGAGTATCTTGAGCTCAACGATCCGGGATAGCATCACCTTTTTAGCACTCATTTTAGTAAAAAGCTTTCAACTTTCGTCATGAATTCTTAGATCTATGTTAATGGAGTTTTGGACCTTATTAGGTCCCAATAATTCATTTTTATGAGTCCAATCCATTTCTAGACTTATGGTTGCCACCCTGGATGCTATTTGTGTCCCAATATCGGTAAAGTTTCGATCTTTGAGGTCTTAATGGGTTCATGCAAGAGTTATGGACATATTTATGGAATTTGATTGCTATTTCTTGAGATTGGGACTTTTGGGGACATGGAAAGTCACCAAGTCCATGACATTATGATTCTAGAGGTCCTAGATAGCTTGGATTTGTGTTTGGATAACATGGGTTAAACATTAAGTGCTTAATGGCCAATTTTTGGAAATTGGACATGAACGCCCTGAGTAGGTCTTGGGAACATGTTGCCTTCCCACTAGGAATCGCGATATGACCAAGGAGGAACGACCAACGTTCCACAAGGGAACGCCCTGCGTTCGTTGCGTCAGTGGGCCTTTTTAGGCCATTTCCTTGGACTAGATGATTATGGGCCTTAGTGGATTATTCTTTTGGGATGTTATTGGAATTTATTACATGTTGGGCTTGAGGGAAAGCCCATTTGAGAAGTTGGGCCCAATTTAGAAAATGGGGCCATAAGTGGGCTTGGAGAGACTATATGGAATTGGGCATTCATGTTATGGATTTGGGCCTAGGTCATGGGTCCATTTAGATCAGGGGTAAAATGGTCATTTTACCCTAATAAGGATTATTGGATTTTGACTAAGTGTCATTATGATAATGATAGTCAGGGGTCGTTGGAACAGCTGTTAGAGATTCCTTACCGTGATATTCAACAGTCAGCTTTGAGAGGTGAGTTTTCTCCAGGTTTGAATGGGTCGAAGGCACCAAGGTCGGCCCGTATATATTATGTGTATAGATTAGCAACTGAGTGTGGGCGAGGACCATATCTCCTTGATAGATGAGTGTGGGCGGGGCCCATATCTCATAGCATTATTTGAGTATGGATATAGGACTGATTAATAGAGTTGATTATACTTGTTGTCTGTGTGATACTTGTATGTATGCTCAGTAGCTGAGTGTGGGCGGGGCCCGTATCACATATTTAGCCAAGTGTAGTCGGGGACCATATCTCATAGTCTGTGGGTGGGGCCCGTATCCCCTAGTCAATGGAGTGTTGGTGGGGCCCGTATCTTCTAGTTAGCAGAGTGTGGGCGGGACCTGTATCCCCGGGAGTGTGGGCGGGGCCCGTATCTCCTTGTAGTTTGATTATGTGTATGGTATTTGGTAGTTTGGGAAGACTCACTAATGCTCACCATTTGTATAGCCGGGGATGTTTTTACTATGGTATGTTTGACAGTAGTTTTGATATTTTGAGATCAAGTGGGGAATGTTGGGGTGAACCAGAAAAGTTTGGGTAGAGCCGGATCTAAGCATTGGCTAGGTAAGCGCCCTGTAGTAAGAGGAGTAGTTATGAACCCTGTAGACCATCCACATGGGGGGTGGTGAAGGGAGGGCCCCAATTGGTAGAAAACAACCCACAACCCCTTGGGGTTATCCTGCACTTGGAAAAAGAAGTAGAAAAAGGAATAAAAATATAGTGATAATTTGATTCTTCGTCGCCGTAGTAAATACCTCACTTATGATTTTATGTGATGAATTGTTAACTATGGTTTTATTGATGATTTAAAAATGAAAATTTTGGACTGTATTTGTGGGATGTTTCAAGTTGGTATCAGTGCCTTGGTTTGAGGGATTCGAGCACAATCTCGGGTATGTCTGAACTCAAACTGAGGACTTGGTATAAAATTTTAAAAATAAAAACCATTTTTACAAAAAAGATTTGAAAAATAAAAAAGGGTTTGGTGCATGCAATTAGTCGAGCTCAAGTAAGTACTCCCATAGAAGGGTGTGGTGCTTTTAGGAGTTCTAGTTATCTTCAACTAACTAGTAAACGAATATGTTAAGTTACATATTACGAAGACTAAATAATTTTAGAAGTTTAGGTTTAGCTTTATTTCGTATCTCTTGTTTGAGTCTAACCGTTATTCGAAGAACTATCTGGTCTTAGTGATATATAATGGTATTCGCAAGCTAGTTAGGGGAAGTTAGCAGGGAATTCTTATGCAAATAATGGCGGAGAGTGGATCGGAGGTTACCCTAGATCAAGCCTATGATTAGATTACCGTGTGAAGCAGTAGTAGTAGAAGGGACTTGGTGGAGTCAAGGCAATTTTTGAGGAAAGTACGGATAAATGTGGAAGGTAGTATGGGACCATACTACTGAAAGCAGAGGATTCGTACTCGAATCTAAGAAGGTTGAGATGAACCTAGGAAACTTTTAGTACATGTGATCCCTCGAGTTATGATGAGTATACTGATGTTTGTTATGGTGTATTTTCAGTATTGTGATGCTACGCATTAGACCAGTTGGTAGTAGACTCCTGTGATCTTCGGTACGGTCAAAGAGGACATCTTGGAGATACTTGAGGAGAGGTTGGGTGCATTCCGCACCGAGATGGTGGCCATGATAGGGGCGCGTGCGGTGATATTCAAGGAGTTCCGAGCTTGTGAAGCTCCAGACTATCATGGGACTCGGGACCCCATTGGTAGCAGTAGGTGGTTGGCTGATGTCACCAATGGCATCCATAATGGCAGATGTCCCGAGGGGGATAAGGTCCGACTTGCTTCCTGTCTCCTGTCGGATAGGGTACACGACTAGTCGGAGGAGGTTTGGCATGCTATTGGTGATGCTATTCTTGATACTATGACATGGAGCGACTTCTTGACCAGGTTTAGGGTCGAGTTCGCACCTGTGATTGAGGTGCAACAACTTGCACAGGAGTTCCAGAACCTCTGATAGACGACTGAGATGGTGAAAGATATCACCACTATGTTCAGGGAGAGGACCCTTCTCGTTCCGCAGTACATGGCGGACGAGGAGATGAAGAAGGCCTGATATCATGAGATATTGAGGAGCGATATTCGGCAGTTTATGAGCCGATCCAACTGAAAGATGCCAGAGGATATGATTGTCAGGGATATATATATATATATATATATATATATATATATATATAGAGAGAGAGAGAGAGATTTATTTATAGATGGAGAGGAAGAAGAAACAAAATGTGGCATTTGGTGTGGAGGGTTCAGGCAAGAAGCCTAAGGTAGATTACCGAGGGAAGGGCAAGTAGGGCCGAGGCTACTACGACAAGTGTGGTAGGACGCACGAGAGGATTTGTAGGGTGGGTAGTTCGGGCTACTTTAAGTGTGGCCGAACTGGTCATGTTAGCAGGGACTATACTGCTACCAATATCGCTCCGACCATATTTGATCTGATTTGCTTTTTTTGTAATGAGAGGGGCCATAAAAGGTCCCGGTGTCCAAGTTTAGTAGTAGCAGGACAGGTGGCAACACCCGCTCCTTCTACGTTGAGGATTACTGACGACCATTTGGGGCCAGGCAGAGGCACCAGTGACGAAGAGTAGAGCCTTCCAGTTGACCGCAGAGGAGGCACGTGTAGCACCCGACGTCATGACGGGATCATTCTTTGTGAATGGTATATATGCTCAGGTATTATTTGATTCGGGGTCTAACCGATATTTTGCTTCGCTCGCGCTCATCAAGCGGTTTGTAGGAGCCCAGGAGAGCTGGACTGTCCTCTAGATGTAGAGATAGTAGATGATAGGACGGTACGAGTTGCGAGGGTTCATCGGGGATGTTCACTGCAGTTGTTCCATGAGTAGTTTTCGGTAGATGTTGTGACAGGTTCAACAGGGGTGTGAATGTTGGATAATGGATCTGCCTAGAGAGTTTTCCTGAGAACACAACACAAAGAAGAATCGTTAAAGGACATCCGGGTGTTCTCTCGGGGCGTTTCTCCGACGATCACGTTAGTTTTCTGGGAGAGGTCTTTTTAGGGTAAAGTTCGTGAGAGAGAAAATGGATCCCTTCCTTGAGACGTAAGAGATCCTATTATACAAGCCTCTAACGGATCGTAGGGACCTCGTCCAATGAGCATGAAACATGGCCTCCTATAACTGAGAGGATCACACCCACGATAACTAACTGTCTGGTGACGTCAGTTCTGGGCGTCACCTAAGAATTATGTCACGTTATGACTGTTCGTGAGTGAAAAAAGATTGCGGGGGATATTCTTCCCTTTTAGAGGGAAACAAACCACTGACTCGGTGCTAAACTGCCTTGGCCAAGACCAGGCCTTGGCCAAAGTCTTGACGAGATAATGGCTCGTTTATGATGTCCGTTAAATTTAACAGGACCATTTATGGTAACGTTAACAAATCCCTTAGACCATTAGGCTTTTGCGTTCGTGATGTATCATAGTTAGTTTGGGCTATTCACAGGAAAATGGAGGCCTGCTATTGGCAGCTTATACAGTTGGCAGGGTGAAATCGGTGCTTGTTTGGCGATTTCATCATGAAGACAGTTCGCTGCCCCTTTTGTGGTATTTAAGGCTCTATTCTCCTTGGCATTTCCTTCCTACCTTCTACTTGTTTCTCTTTGACTTCTTGTTCTTGAGAAAAACTCATTTTAGTCCCTTCTTCATATTTTTCATGGCCGCCACTCGCTCTTTGGGGAGAGATATTACCACTGAAGAGTGGGAGTCTTTTGAGTTCCAGTTCGGGTTAGTTCCCGAGCACATAGTGCAAACCCCCCTGCCTGATTCATCACTCTACAGTCCATCTGAGGGAAAATTTGACATCCCAATCGCCTTGTTTGAGGCAGGTCTGTAGTTGCCCACCACTGATTTCTTCAACCTGAACATCCGGGAATACAGGTTTTTGGTGAGAGAGTTGACCCATATCACTATAAACAAGATAGTGGGTTTCGAATTACTCTACCATGCTCTGGGCCGCCTATCGAATTTTTCATCTTTCAAGCACTTCTTTAACACCTCTACTCAGTCGGGGACTCGAACCCTCTATCGAATTTCTTGTGGGTGAACAACGATCTTGTGGTGCTTAGTTACCCGAGGGATCAAGCTTATGTCGACCGTGATCGAACGCGTTTTGGTGTTGACAAGGAATTGGTCAACGTCCTTGAGAAGATCAACATCAACGGTGAAGATTGGCTTGACTGCTTTTTGGTTGCCGGTAGAATCAATGTTGCTTGGAGGGAACGCGGAAAGATACCCGAGTTTTTTTTTTGTTGAGAAAGAGGGTATTTATCTTGCTCCTCCCCCCCCCCCCCCCCCCCCCCCTTTTTTTTTTAAAAATTTGGAAAAGCACGTTTAAATCGACATTCTGTTTTACCATCATTATCTTTTGTTTTGTTGCCAGGTGTGGAGGAAGTTGTTTCTTTAGAGAGAGAGCTCTTCAGGGTCAGTTCGACGATGAGCTTCAGTGTCGTGATGTTGATCTTGTGGAGGATCTTTCATCCCTATTTCTGGACGAGGAATCGAGGCAGCTGTCGGTTCTGACAGTGCCACCGACACCAGCGAGAATCTAGATCTGTAGGAAGTCTATGTTATCGGTGTTCCTTAGAAGGATCTTACACCTTCTGAGTCTTCGAGGAGTCTTCACCGTGTCAAGAGGCATTTTGCTTTCCTGGAAGCCTCTTCAGGTGTTCTAGATGAGTCGGATAGCACCGGGCCTCCTCTTCGTAAGAAACGTAATCTAAGTCTCTTACTGGAGGGAATCGAGGATTCCACCCATGCCCCTGATGAAGGTCCTCTGAAACTGTCGGAGAGGGCACAAACTAGGGCGAATGTAGCGCCCAATCATATGGGAGAAAAAAGCAGCGAGAAAATGAGCACTGCCCCCATAACTGAAGGAGTCGGGGAGGAGACTGGGTCTTCGCCTCCCCATGGTCTTGCCTCAACCTCTTCTGGTAAAATCACAACCACCACCTACTGATGGGTTCTCATTTGGATGCCTATAAGCCAGCCTGGAGACTAACTGCTCAAGATCTTTTCTCCAACCATGACACCTCTCTCGAGTGGTGTCAGCACACATTTCCTCCTGCCGTGACCGAGGCCCTACCTGTCCCGTCCGACGAGCATATGGCTGATGGCTTACGCTATGTTGCCACTCTAGTATCGTCTTATTTGGTCGCGACCGCTGAACGTATCTCTGAGATGGAGACCCTCGAGTCTGATTCTGACAGGAGGGGTATTGAATGCGAAGAGTTGAAGTCCCAAGTAGCGAAGTTAAAAGCCGATAAGAGCAACTTGGAGGCTAGGTAGGAGGCAGTGCTGCTTGAGAGGGAAAGCTTGGCTGATCAAGTGGCAAACGTGAAGGAAGAGGTGGGGCGTCTGAACGATTGTGTGGGGGTTCTGACTTTTGAGAACGCCTGTCTGAGCGGGCGGACGACGGAACCGGATGTTGATTTGGTTGTTAAGAACTCCGCAAGGGGAGCGCTGGAAAAGTATGTTTCTTGGATCCTTAATGACGGGCTCAGTCGGGTGGTGGACCGAGTAATCGAGACCCCCTAGTTTCTCCAGGGTTTTGTGCAGGTGCATATGGCTTTCGTAGCGGCGGGGGTGGAGCAGGGGAAGACGGCTGCTAAGGAGCTGGTGATCACCGGGGAGTTTGGCCCAGAGGTTGAGGTGGACGTGGCCACCGAGGTTCACGAGATGGAGGATGACCTGTCTATTTTTTCTGAAACAGATTATGCTGGCTATCTTCGCCTATGTGATATGGATATGGTTGGGCTTCGTGACCTTTTCTAAGATGCTCAGGGAGATGGATCAGGCCCTGGCCCAAGCTCTTCCCCTGGTGATGGTAACATACTCGCCCACAAGTAGCACTGTTTCTTTGATTTGTTGTGATGTAATATCAGTGAACAATTTTTCTATTTCTTGTTTTGTCATTTTTTTGCCTTTGCAGCCCTCAGTGTGGCCTGAAAGTCTGGGGGTCCGGCAACATGACAATTGCTACTTTATATTTATAGGTATGAATGTTTGTTGTCACCACACATATTCTTTTGTTTGGTTGCTTCATGTGTGGTTTATGTTGGCCATCACATTGTATTTATGTAGGGTTTTGCTTGCACCCCTAGTTTGAGTTATGTTATTGGTGAACTCTATACGTTTTCTCAAAGCTGGTCTTTGAGAAATTTGTTCTAATTTGCTGCTTAAGGACCCTAGGTGTAGCCAAGATCATCATCTTGAGGCTCACTCGATTATGCATTTTTGTTTTATTAGTGGAAGGTTATGATCCTTCTACACTCATGTCACATGTTTATTTGTATATTTGCTATGTTGTAAATGGTGAACATCTTTTGGGAGGAAGGTTATGAGCCTTGTATATGAAAACTCCCTGGCTGCCTCCTTGTAACAATTTTGCTTGTGTGACGTTGGATGATCAGCCCTTGTTGTCACACGATAAATGTACACAGCCTCTTTGTTTTGTTTTTCAATCTTGAAAATAAGGTGCATCTGAATTGCCCTTTTGGTTTACTCTAGTTTTGTTTAGAGTGTAATAAAATTGAATGTAGTAAAGTAATTTTTGCTGAATACGTTTACATGTTAAAATTAATAAATAATGCCTTTGCTAGCATTGGTTCTACCTTTAACACTCGTTTTAAGAGTAAAAGTGGTGTAGGCTCTACACATTCCACGTTCTTGGAATGGCACACCCGTCCTTAGCTTCTAGGACATAAGCACCATTCTTATGGTGCTTCTGGTTTCAGGTACTTCTGGTAGCAAGGGGAAGAGCTCGGGATGACTGATGTGCTATAACACAGTAAATTTTCAAGTAAAATTTTCATTTAAAATCTCATAAATCTCATAACACATTTAAAAAAAATCTCATTTATTTAAATTAAAAATCACAACTCCATAATCGTTTGATTTACTCCACGATCCTCGAAACATAGTTCTTTCACTGGTGTGTACAATCAATCCTGTGCCTTTCCGTGATCCTGAGAAAAACCTGAAACACGTAACACACAACATGGTAAGCATGACGCATAGTGATTTCCCCAAAATACCACATACAACACATTAGCCATTCAAGGCTATAACTCTGTAAGACCCTCCAGTCTAAGTGTCTCAATGGGACCCTCCAGTCCCATGGCTCGTTGGACCCTCTGGTCCGGTCTCAGTGAGGACCCTCCAGTCTCACAGCTCGTTAGACCCTCCGGTCCAGTCTCAGTAACACATAACATAGCATATATATATCACACAGACAAAATGCATAACTCAAGTAAGCACGTAAGACCCTCTGGTTACACATAAATACCACTCTAGGTGAAGTATATTGAGAAGACTCACCTCGCAAGCTAACAAGTAACAACCTCGTACTCGGAAATCTCGAACTAGCCTCCACCTAAGGGATAACATCTCTAATTAATACTATATTAATACTCAAATACACCAAAGGTTATTCTTTTTCTCTGTCTAACTCTTGAAGTGGATAAAAATACCATTTTACCCCTCCATGGTCTCCATAACTCATGATTGACTCAACCCTAAAGTCCACATAAGTCAAACTTGAGTCAACAGTCCATGTTTGACCCGAGTCCTCAAGTGCACTCTTGAGACTCGTCAAGTCCCCTAGTTTCATCAGAAGTCTCAAGAAAGTCTAGATCAACTTGTCGAGTTGACCCCCAACTCGCTGAGTTATCACATAATCAAACACATCGGGACAAACCCACACCGACTCGTCGAGTCCCTTCGATCAGATTCCTCATTTAGACGATTCAAGATAGATCCATCACTCCAAACACTAGATCTACCATCCTAAGGGTCGATTTTCACGTAAAGCTGCAAGCTTTATGTTCAAACATGGCATATAAGACTCTTAATGCCAATACATGCTCCAACAAGGGCACCAAACACAATAACTCTTAAAGTGACTGAATAAATCTTGAGCATTTGGACCCTATGGACCTCACAAGGTCTAAATCTGAAGTCTAGGACTAGAAAAGTACTCCATGCACTCATATCTCAACAAAAAGGTGATAGAAAGCCCTATTCATTAAAACATGAGATCTAATCACCACAAGGAGAAAGATGAGAACTTTTTACCTTCTCCAGAAGCTCTTGGACGAAATAACACTGATCCACTGGCCCCTTTCTTGATCCTTGATAAGTCCTTCCCTCCTCTTCAAAAGAAATGTACCAAAACACCCAAAAAAAGCTCCTTTCACACTCTCTAGCTCAAAAGTACGTTATGGTTTACTCTCAGTGAAGGTGAGCCACAAATAAGGCTATAAGATCCTTTATATAGGCCCCAACCCCCGGGAAATTACGGTTTCTCTGCCCAACACCTACTCAACAAGTCAAATCTCTGACTCGTCGAGTCCACTCATTAAATCCATGCTGACAAATCGGCCCTACTCGGAAAGTCGGACTCATGACTCGTCGAGTCACTCTAAAAATCTCAAAGACAAACACACATTAAAGCATCCGAAGGTCCGGATGTTACAATTCTCCCTCACTTGAATTAGATTTTGCCCTCGAAATCGCTTCTCAACGTCACATAGACCGATCCCAACAACCCGAAAAGTACCACCGAAAGGATCTCATATCACACAATTAACTTCCTCCATGGACATCTGAATCCAAACAGGAACTCACAAACCCGAAAGAGGACATACCTATTGTTTTAATTTTTGCATGTTTTAACTTCTTGGATAATAAGATTATTCGAACGGTCCACATTCGTTCATATGTTGGAAGTAGGTATGAATGATGTAACACCCGTAGATCCGGGCTTGTCAATTTAGAGGCAATAGGGGTCGAAAACGACTTTTCGACAAAAGAGTATTTAGAATAAAAAATTTGAACCAAGTTGTAGTATATGTCACGAGGTTTCCATACATATAAAGAACACCGAAATCTGAGTTATAACGAAAAAGTTATGACCCGTCGAAGTTTCGCGACGGAACCGACATGGCACCGGGAAGCGTAAATAGTGAATTTATGATAGAGCAAGATTTAGCCATATCAATCTAAATGAAAGTCGTAGAATATGTTAAACTAATACCATCGATAAAAAGAATGCCCAAATCTAACTTCGTATGAAGAAGTTATGATTTTTCGAAATTTCGAGTTAGCAGTGTACAACCCGAAATTCGAATATTAGATCGAGCGGTTTTTAGCCGACACGACCTAAGCGAGAATCGAAGATCTCGTTAAGAGTAGCGTAACGAGAAAAAGATGGGTGAAAAGGACGTCGGATGAAAAAGTTATGAGGATTTAACGGACCAATCCTATCCCGATTTGTTAAAAATATAAAATTTAAAATCGAGTCAAAATTAGCCGACGAAGTATAAACGAAAGTTGTAGAGTATGTTCCCACCTTTGCGTGGATATAAGAATGTCGAAAACGGAGCTCGTATGCGAAAGTTATGATATTTAGAAGTCGAGAAGGAAAATTGCGAAACTGAGATGACGTGGCAACATCTGGACCCTCCATCGCTGATCAGACCTCGCTTCGGATCATGCCACGAAGCCTTCACATTACGCCCCGCGTACGAGGTCCGGTACGCCCCGCGTACCT